GTACTCCGGTAAATGCCCGAACTCACCCGGAACCATTCCGATGTCCAAACATAGCCTTCTAATATATCGATCTTTATGTCTCGACCATTTCGAGACTCCTTGTCATGTCTGTGATCATATCCGGAACTCCTAACTACCTTTGGTACATCAAAACACATTAACTCATAATACCGATCGTCACCGAACGTTAAGCGTGCGGACCCTACGGTTTCGAGAACTATGTAGACATGACTGAGACTCGTCTCCGGTCAATAACCAATAGCGGAACCTGGATGCTCATATTGGTTCCTACATATTCTACGAAGATCTTTATCGGTCAAACCGCATAACAACATATGTTGTTCCCTTTGTCATCGGTATGTTACTTGCTCGAGATTCGATCGTCGGTATCTCAATACCTAGTTCAATCTCGTTATCGGCAAGTCTCTTTACTCATTCCGTAATGCAACATCCCATAACTAACTCATTAGTCACACTGCTTGCAAGGCTTATAGTGATGTGCATTACTGAGAGGGCCCAGAGATACCTCTCCGATACACGGTGTGACAAATCCTAATCTCGATCTATGCCAACTCAACAAACACCATTGGAGACACCTGTAGAGCATCTTTATAGTCACCCAGTTACGTTGTGACGTTTGATAGAACACTAAGTGTTCCTCTGGTATTCGGGAGTTGCATAATCTCATAGTCATAGGAACATGTATAAGTCATGGAGAAAGCAATAGCAGTAAACTAAACGATCAAAGTGCTAAGCTAATGGATGGGTCAAGTCAATCACATCATTCTCTAATGATGTGATCCCGTTCATAAAATGACAACTCTTTGTCCATGTCTAGGAAACTTAACCATCTTTGATTAACGAGCTAGTCAAGTAGAGGCATACTAGTGACACTCAGTTTGTCTATGTATTCACACATGTACTAAGTTTCCGGTTAATACAATTCTAGCATGGATAATAAACATTTATCATGATATAAGGAAATGTAATAACCACTTTATTATTGCCTCTAGGGCATATTTCCTTCAGTACTTTCCTCCCACTCACTTCTTTCGAGAGAAACTCCTTCTCTAGAAAGGATACATTCTTAGAAACTAATATCTTGCCTTCGGATTAAGGTGTACCCAACAGTTTCCTTTGGGTATCCTGTGAAGACGCATTTCTCCAATTTGGGTTCGAGCTTATCAGGCTGAAGCTTTTTCACATAAGCATCGCAACCTCAAACATTAAGAAACGACAGCTTAGATTTCTTGCCAAACTACAATTCATATGGTGTCATCTCAACGGATTTAGATGGTGCCCAATTTAATGTGAATGCAGCCGTCTCTAAAGCATAACCCCAAAACGATAGTGGTAAATCGGTAAGAGACATCATAGATTGCACCATATCTAATAAAGTATGGTTACGACATTCGGACACACCATTATGATGTGGTGTTCCAGATGGCGTGAGTTGCAAAACTATTCCACATTGTTTCACATGAAGACCAAACTCGTAACTCAAATATTCACCTTCACTATCAGATCGTAGAAACTTTATTTTCTTGTTACGACGATTTTCTACTTCACTCCAAAATTCTTTGAACTTTTCAAATGTTTCAGACTTATGTTTCATTAAGTAGACATACCCATATCTACTCAAATCATCTGTGAAGGTTAGAAAATAACGATACCCGCCGCGAGCCTCAACACTCATCGGACCGCATACATCAGTATGTATTATTTCCAATAAGTCAGTTGCTCGCTCCATTGTTCCGGAGAACGGAGTCTTAGTCCACTTGCCCATGAGGCATGGTTCGCAAGCATCAAGTGATTCCAAAAGCCCATCAACATTGAGTTTCTTCATGCACTTTACACTAATATGACCTAAACAGCAGTGCCACAAATAAGTTGCACTATCATTATTAACTTTGCATCTTTTGGCTTCAACATTATGAATATGTGTATCACTATGATCAAGATTTAACAAAAATAGACACTCAACAAGGGTGCATGACCATAAAAGATATTACTCATATAAATAGAACAACCATTATTCTCTGATTTAAATGAATAACCGTCTCGCATCAAACAAGATTCAGATATAATGTTCATGCTCAACGCTGACACCAAATAACAATTATTCAGATCTAAAACTAACCCCGAAGGTAGATGTAGAGGTAGCGTGTCGACTGCGATCACATCGACCTTGGAACCATTTCCTACGCGCATCATCACCTCGTCCTTAGTCAATCTTCGTTTAATCCATAGCCCCTGTTTCGAGTTACAAATATGAGCAACAAAACCAGTATCAAATACTCAGGCGCTACTACGAGCATTAGTAAGGAACACATCAATAACATGTATATCAAATATACCTTTAACTTTGTCATCCTTCTTATCCGCCAAATATTTGGGGCAGTTCCGCTTCCAGTGACCAGTCCCTTTGTAGTAGAAGCACTCAGTTTCAGGCTTAAATCCAGACTTGGGCTTCTTCCCGGGAGCATCAACTTGCTTGCTATTCTTCTTGAAGTTCCCCTTATTCCCTTTGCCCTTTTTCTTGAAACTAGTGGTCTTTTTAACCATCAACACTTGATGCTCCTTCTTGATTTCTACCTCTGCAGCCTTTAGCATTGCGAAGAGCTCGGGAATTGTCTTTTCCATCCCTTTCATATTATAGTTCATCACGAAACCTTTATAGTTTGGTGGAAGTGATTGAAGAACTCTGTCAATTACACTATCAACAAGAAGATTAACTCCCAGCTGAGTCAAGTGGTTATGGTACCCAGACATTCTGAGTATGTTTCACTGACAAAACTGTTCTCCTCCTTCTTGCAGCTATAGAACTTATTGGAGACTTCATATCTCTCAACTCAGGCATTTGCTTGAAATATTAACTTTAACTCTTGGAACATCTCATATGCTCCATGACGTTCAAAATGTCTTTGAAGTCCCGATTCTAAGCCGTAAAGCATGGCACACTGAACTATCAAGTAGTCATCAGCTTTAGTCTACCAAACATTCATAACGTCCAAGTCTCTTTACTCGTTCCGTAATGCATCACCCCGCAACTAACTCATTAGTCACATTGCTTGCAAGGCTTATAGTGATGTGCATTACCGAGAGGGCCCAGAGATACCTCTCCGATACTCGGAGTGACAAATCCTAATCTCGATCTATGTCAACCCAACAAACACCTTCGGAGACACTTGTAGTGCATCTTTATAATCACCCAATTACGTTGTGACGTTTGATAGCACACAAGGTGTTCCTTCGGTATTCGGGAGTTGCATAATCTCATAGTCAGAGGAACATGTATAAGTCATGATTAAAGCAATAGCAATAAAACTTAACGATCATTATGCTAAGCTAACGGATGGGTATTGTCCATCACATTATTCTCTAATGATGTGATCCCGTTCATCAAATGACAACACATGTCTATGGTCAAGAAACTTAACCATATTTGATTAACGAGCTAATCAAGTAGAGGCATACTAGGGACACTCTATTTTGTCTATGTATTCACACATGTACTAAGTTTCCGGTTAATACAATTCTAGCATGAATATTAAAAATTTATCATGATATAAAGAAATATAAATAACAAATTTATTATTGCCTCTAGGGCATATTTCCTTGAGTTTCATGTTTGGCTCGCCGGCTAGTCACACCTATTCCAATGCATTCTTAGCTCTTGGTCTTTTATTTGCTTTTTATTTTTTTGCGAAAGAAATTTCCAATCTATTCATCAATCATGGAAGTACAGAGAACACAAGAGGTAATAAAAATTACAACTAGGTCTATGGACCACCTAGCGACGGCTACAAGCACTGGAGCGAGCCGAAGATGCGCCGCCGTCATCGCCCCTCCATCACCGGAGTGGGGCAAACCTTGTTGTAGTAGACAGTCGGAAAGTCGTAATGCTAAGACCCCAAAGGACCAGCACACCAGAGCAGCAACCATCGCCGATGAAGAGAGTTGTAGATTGGAAAGATTAAACCTGTAACCACTCGAACGAAGACAAACAAAAACTGGATCCAAATAGATCCACCGAAGATCAGCACCGACCGAATCCCATGAGATCCAACAGAGACACACCTCCACACATCCTCCGACAACGCTATTCACACCATCGGGATGGGGTAGGACGTGGGAGACATTATTGCTACCGAGGGACATCGTCGCTGCCACACAGCCACAACCAAGACGTTCAACCTAGCAAAAACAAGAATGGGGTCCCTCCCGCCGACGGCGGGAGGGGGGGGGGAGATCCTCCACACCTCCACAGGCCAAAGGCCATCGGAGGCGGGGCGGATCCGCAGCGGTGCCGACGAGAGGAGGAAGGAGACTTTTCTTGTGGAGGAGGAAAGACTTTGATAATAGATCTGAATCATTTTCGTAGAAAAGAAGAAGAAGAAAAAAGCTTTGGTAGGCAATGAAAATGTCTCCTCTCACTGAACGCATATTGTCAGAAGGCCTAAAATAAATTTTAAAAAATTGCAAGCACCGGTGCCAAGTCTAATACCTGAACTGTGATGGGCTGAGAATACCATTATCCTCGTAACAATCCAACCACAAAAAACAAAATGGTTCCCGTGGCCTCCTGCCTTTGTTAATCAAGGATTTTCATAAAGAATATTTGTTCTTAAAGAGAAATGCCGCTGTGGTTTTTGGATAATTGTGTCGTAAATGTGATGGTTTTATGCATTTTACTGTGTTTTGTAAGGTCAACAATCTAGAGGGGAGCTGCGCTTCAGCCAGCCAGGAGTTCGATCTTGACCGATCCTGATCCACCCACCGCACCTCATCTGCCCACGAATGGCACAGCCAGCCCTCCCTAAATAATCCCCGAAACACTTATTAAGAAACTAATCTCGACTATTAGAAAAAGTGGGAGCAGAAAGGGCCAAAACCCCAACCCGAAGATAAACAAGGCAAGCAAAGTATCGGATCCGGACTAATCAAGCCACCCAAATCTGCAGATTAATTCCCCACCCCCCAGCCCCGCCGGCCGCGTCATGCTCCGGCCGTTCCCCTGCCCCCACCGCACGCCCGCCGCCGCCGCCGCCAGCCCGCCCCCCGCCGCCGCGGCCGCAGCCATGGCGCCGTCCTCCTCCCGCTCCCACTCCCACTCCGGCGGCGGGGGCGGCGGCCACGTCTCCCTCTCCCTCTCGCCTTCCTCCTGCAGGCACACCCCCTCCTCGGCCACGCTCGATCTCCTCATCCTCCTGCTCGTGCTCTTCTCCCTCGCCTTCCTCCTCGCCTCCTCGCTCGCCCACGTCTCGCGCTCGCTCTCCCCGCTCCTCGCGTCGCCGCCCGCCGCCGCGGCGCTCGCCTCCGCCGCCGCCGCCCTGCCCTACTTCGCTGCCGGCCTCCCCTACGTCGCCGCAGCCGCGGTGCTCGCCACGGCCGCCTTCCTGTCCTGCCGACGCCTCCCTCGCCGCCGCTGCCGCAACCCGCGCTGCCGCGGGCTCCGGAAGGCGCTCGAGTTCGATGTCCAGCTCCAGAGCGAGGAGGCCGTGCGGGCTGGCGGGGGGAGCACCGTTGGCGGCGCTGACGCCGCCATGTGGCGCGAGATCGAGACCTTGCCGTGGAAAGGGGGCCAGAGCGGGAACAATCCAGACTACGAGTGCCTTCGCGCAGAGCTCCGCCGGATGGCGCCGCCCAACGGCCGCGCTGTCCTGCTCTTCCGCAACCGCTGTGGCTGCCCGGTGGCCAAGCTCGAGGGCTGGGGCACCCCCAAAAGCAAGCGGCGGAATAAGAAGTGAGAGCCCATTGACCCATTCCCCTTTCCTTGCAACTTCATGAAATAAGTTCAGTTACATGATCTAAACTCCTAACAGTGTCACGATTTCTGTGGGAGCGATGCAGATATATAGGCTACATACATCTTCAATACAAACGATCAATCTTTGATATGTTTCTTTGGGGTTCAACAGGAGTTATACTGTTTCTGTGTGTATGGCCATCTAGTTTTATATGATCTAGGAAGTATGCTGGTTGGAAGTTTTAATCGAGTTAGCATTTTTTCTCCGAAGCTAGTGAATTATGTCATGTCCTCTTTGTGGTTGTTCATCTGCCACTGGGACACAAGTTAAATTTACCTAACTACCATTCTCAGTTGAAGGGGGTGTAAATGTTCATAACCACTTTTATTTTCTATCTGTTGCTTGAGCAGATGCATTTTTCTCGTAAAAGATATTTTCCAACTGTAAACTTATTGTCCCTTCTCTGCAAATGTGTTTGGAATTTTGGATAAGTTATGCAAATGTTGAAGAAAAGCATCCATTGTTAATACAATTCAACGCCCTTTGCTCACATCTCATGGCAGATGTTACATATGAAATTAATTTAAATTTGATGACCTTTAGTGACATTTATGCTACATTTTCGTTTATGGCTAACGTTAAACATGGGATTAAATGGTGACTGATTCTAATTGTTGCTTGGGGTGGATTATTTTAGATGATTAAGCCTATTTCTAACTAGATAAACTTAAGCTCAGTTTAGGAGCTTGTGGGACTAGCAAGTTAAGGATTTAATGCTTTTGACTTGCCAAGCCAGTCAGAAGAAGAAATTGGGTCACCTAACCAGGTTATCTGTATTATTAGGAAGTGCTTTTGAGAGGATACAGTTTTGGTGTCACTTAACATAATTCACTAACTAGGAGTGCCTCTTCCCTCTTGGGATTGTGGCAGTTGTTTCTGCTAGGCCGAAAAAGTTCCGCATGACGTGATAGTATTTTGTGCCATCTATGGTTTGACTATGTCATTACTAACAACTACCTAATTGTGTCTATCAGTTGCACGGATTGAGTTTGTTCACTCAATTGATCTTTACTGTCTATTTCGTAGTGACACATATTTTTAGCATGTTCTTACTCCCTCCGTCCCAAAATTCTTGTCTTAGATTTATCTAAATACGGATGTATCAAGTCACGTTTTAGTATTAGATACATCCATATCTAGAAAAATCTAAGACAAGAATTTTGGGACGGAGGGAGTACTATTTTTAATCAAACCAATTAATGATCAAATTTACTTCCACACAGTTTCTCCTCACTTCTCGCATTGAACACACATCCTTATTTGAAAAATAAAAAACTAAAGAATTTCATATCACATGTTCGGTAGGAAACATGTTTCTAGGATGCCAAGTAGGGAGATATATGATTCTATAGGTGCTCTTCTTAGTTTATCAGTGCGAAAATGCCTCTGTTTGCTTAATAATGATTGGGACGATTGGAAGTATAGGCGCTACCGTCTTGATTCCGGGAGAGGTGATGTTATCATTGGCATTTCCATGTTTTCTAGGATGCCAAGTAGGGAGATATATGATTCTATAGGTGCTCTTCTTAGTTTATCAGTGCGAAAATGCCTCCATTTGCTTAATAATGATTGGGACAATTGGAAGTATAGACGCTACCGTCTTGGCTCCAGGAGAGGTGATGTTATCATTGGCATTTCTCTTTCTGATTAACATGGTGTGTCAGGGGCACTATGTCGTACAGTGGTTGAGATGGTTCATGTTTAATTACAATTTGTTTGGTTTCTGGGCCTAGAGTACTTCTCTGTTTCTGATCATAACTCACTGCCCACGTGTTCTTAGCTATGTTGTCTGAATAACACTGATACCATGAAAGCATATGCATGGAGAAAAATCCAATACTACAGCATGTAACAAATGAACTCCTTGGTCCTTGCCATCTGCTACATGTATCTACACAAAATGATGAGTTGACGAAGTCAATATGATGAACTGCAACCAAGAAGAGAGTTCGCACAACGAAAGCAATAGCAATTCTACAGATGCGAAGGAAGTAGCAACGTAGAAATGAGTAGTAGTGTGGGAGGAAGTAAATAATAGTTCAACTGCTTACTGCATTATGATAGACCACACTAGCACAACCACTTCACACACAATACGGTTCAGCACTTAAAGTTTAGAGGACCATAAATGTACATAAGGTACCCGGGCAGGACACGATGAATCATGATTCTTAAGTCCAGTTGTTGCTTCTATCTTTGTCATTAATGGTTGAGGAGGTCCAATCTCAGATCTCACCAATCGCTATGCCTCTGTTGCCTCACCATTTTCTTGCACTTGCCTTTGTTGCCTCACCATTTTCTTACACTTGCCTTTGTTGCCTCACCATTTTCTTACACATGCTCTAACCATTGTTCGTCTAGTCAGAGATTTGCTTGCTGAAGGAATCCACGATGACCTTAGAGGACTCAAAAGCTATCTCTTCCAATTCCCCACATTCTTATTAAGCATTGTGCTATTCTCATTTCCTTGAAGGAGATGTACCTTGTGTTCATGTACTAAATCCTTAGCACGTCAAACGTGCTAAGGATTTAGTACATGAACACAACTTACATCTCTTACAAACAGCTTTCCAGGATCACCTCAGAGGACTCAAAAATTATCTCTTACAAACAGCTTTCTTTGTAAAGACACACATGGTAGATGTGGATACTGGACCCCAGAATAACCTGCAAATAACCTTAAATTGTGGTCACCAGAATATGCATTCATTTGGTTTGCACCAAGGGGGCCGTGGTGATTTACTAATTTAACTATCAACAGCTACTGTAACACTTATTTTTCGTAGAACTGACTATCCTTGTATACTGATTAATTTCTGTATGATAAATTTAGTCAATATACACCTTTTATATGTAGCATGTGGAAATCCTTAATACTGCCCCCAGCTCTTGCATCTTTGCAAGAAAGGGATGCATATGGCTATATTGCATCATGACTTGTTAAGCTAGACACTTCTTTAGTTCAGTTAAAATTTGCCAGTGTTCAGTTAGGTCAAGTCTTCTAACCCCTGCTTCACTTGTTTTAATTGGACTTAACCTGAGTACACTGCAGCACTGGAACTTGGATATTGATGCGTTTATTATCGATATATACACCATAGCTTCTGAAAAGAGTTTGAGAAAAAAATTATTTCACATTGTTACTATGTTTTGAAGTACCCGTTGGTTAGGTTTTCTCTCTGTCAAGCATACTTATTTTGCATGGTCTTCCTTGTTTGGGCTACACCTTTTGTTAATGGAAATTTGCTATGCAAATATTTTTGTAGTTAAATCAGATGTTATGAACTGACCCATCTTTTTCCAGAATTGGTTGCCCAATTAATGTTTTTAAGTGTTTCTCAATTAATGTTACTCCTGAGCAATCAGCAATACTGTGACCTGTGAGAGTGCATTCTTGGCTTGGATGCTTATGTATTTCTGTTAATTCTGTTAATGTGTTGGTAATCTTGTCATGTGGTTGTAATATGGGAAGCTTTCTAGGTATCTATCTAGTTAGTTTGTGGACTTTTCACCGATTTCAGTTAAATTTGCCGTCAACTTCAAAATAGGCACTTTCAGTTTCAGCTGGCTGCTACATCCAACATATGAACAATTGATTTCAGAAAGCTACCTTAATGTTTAACAGGTCTCAAGTCACATGTATTTCAGTTTTGCTTTCCCACGAGACTAACTAGTTTCCTGTTTCACTTCTGATCTTTGATGGTCTCAGGGGCACGCAAGGTTCTTCACTGGACGGAGGGGTGCGATAAACAAAAATCTGTTAAACAGTGCTGCCTAGGCTGCCATGGAATATTTGTTGAATAATACTTCCAATGAAAGATACATCAATTACAAGTGGTTGCACCATAATTGTATTGTTAGACGGGGTTCGCTGAATCTCAACAGAAATACCGATATGAGACAAACATTGCAATAATAATAGACTGTCAAAGAAAGAAAATAAAACGTTGGAGATGTACCAGTATTTGTCATGTTGCCCTTTTGCCTCTTTTCCCTGAATAAATTGCCCCCCAGTGTGTGGATGTTTTTCAGGCCTGTGGTCTCAATGTTGAAAAAGAGAAACACTAAGTTAAGATACTGTCATGGCCATGGCAGCGATATGGCTTGATATGTTTATTTCTCGTACCTGTGTATTGCAAATTTGCAATGAGTAGTGCCTTCTTTCCAAAGTAAAATAGAGATCTAGCTCCCATGTGTCGCGCATCTTCAGTTAATTTCTAGTACATGCATTTCTTGCTCATCTCTAACGCCGGGTACATTCGAGTGAACACTCATCTTCACTTTGTGTGGGTCAATTTACCCACAACGACCCCACATCTATTGAGAAACACAATTATATATTTAGATAGTTTGTAGAGAACTTCTAAATCTATAAGAATCGGAATTTAAAGTAGAAGTAGGTGTGCATTGTCTTGCAGTCCTGGTATATGAAAGCAGGCATACGTTTGCATCGCAAGGTAGGCGAGGAACATAAAGAGTAGTCTCCCCAGCTCGCCTTCCTCTCTTGCTCCCGTCTTTTCGGCCTTAAGTTGTTAGGGCGTGTGTCTTGTGTTTGCGCTGGCAAGAGTTCCTTGATACGTTCTTAGGATTTGGATGCATCAGGAATCCAACAATTACGATTCCGGCGCCGGTGGCAAGTTATAGTAGAATGTTACCAACAGGAAGCCTGTGAAAAGTAGTTGTTGTCTAGGATTGGAGATGGCTCCGGCTGCCCTTGCTGCATTGCAAGTAGTTCCATCACTCTGGTTTACTTTTCTTGGTCTCGTTAGCTAAAGCTTGTACAGCTCAGATCTCAAGGTGCGGACGATCAAAATGGGGATGAGGTTGAATGAAGCTAGATTAAAGGACTAGATAGTAAATCACTTGCCACCCTCCAATGCGATCAAGATAAAGGACATACTCCAGTTTGCTAGAACGAAATGGGGATGAGGTTGAATTTTGGCATCAACCGAGTCCAATGGCTGGGTTAGAACAAGCCCTACTCCATTGCTTACACACCTAGCCTTCTGCAAGTACAACACAATGATCACTAGCTAGGAAAACTATGCTCTTTGTCAAGATTAAAACTTCACCGCCCCTTGGTCACCATGAGCAAACATTTGAGATAATGAAAACTTCATACCCTTTGTCTCTGCATCATCGATGCAGAATCAAACCGTCATGAGAAAATACGAGCTTCTTTGCTTGTTTCCAGCAATGATTAATTAATCAACTATGGGTTCCATGTTGTGCTGCTAACTGAAGTGCTAACAATGTTCATGTTCTATGAATAACCGATCTATATCTACGATCAAATTAGCCTGAGTTAAACACTATCTAAGATTAAATTAGCATGAGTTAAACACTACCTGTGATTAAATTAGCACGAGTTAAACACTATTTATCACCTTTAACACACACACCGACACCCACAATGACCCCACATCCTTTAAGAAACGCCAATATATTTAGATATTTGTAGAGAACTTTTAAATTTGCGAGGAATCAAAATTAAAAAGAATACATTGTTCATCCCCTTGCATCTATGCTTGCTTTGCTGTCCTCTCCTACTCACATTTCTCAAGCCATCTCTAACAGATCCCGTAAAAACATCACCTGTAAAAACAGTATACAGGTCCCCTTAAAACGAATTTGCGACACCATGAGGAATCAAGCGGAACAGATCCCGTAAATCCGTATTGTAGAAGTTCTTTTTCTCCTCATGCTTCTTCTTTCTCGAGACGCACGCATGGACAAACTCGAACTCCTGTCGGTCAGAACGGCGCCGCTCAGGCCTGCCGCTTGCTTTGATGCCGCTCCGGCTCGCTGCCTGCTCCGGCGACGCTCTGGTGATGCTCCGGCGACGTTCCGGCCGGCCACGTGCTCCAGCGATGCTCCAGCCGGCCGCTGCCGAGCTCCTCCACCTGGTTGCCGCTCGAGCACGGCGTCGCCATGCCCCCTGCTCCGGCAACGTTCCGGCCTGCCGCGTGCTCCGACGATGCTTCGGCCAGCCGCTGCCGAGCTCCTCTGCCTGCTCGCTGCTCGCGCGCAGTGTCACCAGCCTCCTGCTCTGGCGTTGACCGTTTTTACGGGATCCTCAAAAAACGGCTCGAATCCTCCATATATGATGGATGGGTGCTCTAATATACGGGAACCCATAAAGAAAAATATGGGATGTGCTATTTTACAGAATTTGTTCGGTGTGTTTTTTAACATGTACCGTAAATCTAAAGGTTTGACCGTTTTTACGGGATCTGCTAAAGATGCTCTTAAGACCCATCGGGGACTAGTTCAATCAAGGTATAAGCAAAACGTTTAACATTTGTACAAAGGACTCCTTGTCCTGAGAATTCTAGCATCGATCGAGTCTAAGGGTATCTCCAGCGGCAACCCGCAAATTTCCTCACGCATCCGTCCACGGACCGGGGGGGGGGGGACCAGTC